CTTTGATTTAAAGAGATTAGTGTAAGGCTTCTAGAATAGCCTTTGTGGAGTGTTTCAAGGAGTTTTCTAGATGTCTTTGTGTACTACATGTTCACTGAATCCTCCTCCTTAAATATCTCTTATTCCTTTTGTAACCTTATGTCATTTTGCAATACTAGAAAGAAAACACACTTAAAATTTAATAAAACTCGCAAAGGGTAACCATTGAAGGCACTAATACTTGGCAAGGCTAGCAAATCATGTCTTCAAGAAGAAACTCAGACAAGAAATCTATGTAATTAATAAAGCAATTGTAAGTAAATTCATAACAGTTTATTTATTTATTTATTTATTTTTATGACTTCTTACACTTGGTTTCATACTTGAGCTTTGTAATTTGTATCGCTTTATAAATGATCAGGAGAAGAATAATGGGAGTTTTAATGAAAAGCCCAAGGTACTGTTCACTTAAACGAAAAAACCGTATTTTTACACTAAAAAGTCAATACTGGTACTATTCACTTTACCATTTATTTTGTCCTTATTATTAAAACTCAAAGTTTTCAAGCCATTTTCATTAATTTTCCTAAGAATATATCTAGAAATTAACTCTATGCAACCCTTTTTGAATAACTCTCTATGAATGCAGTTTCAATTTGAACTTTTTGTGTTGAAGCGTTGAGTTCAAGTTGTGGGAGCATTTTAAAAACACATAGTAAACACACACAAATGTTAAAACCCCAGTCTGGCGAGTTGAATTTTTAAAATATGCCAGACGCATCTTATCGTGTCAGCATCAACGCGTGCTACAACCATTAGTAGCCTAGCAACCTAACCCGTTGACCTGAGACATAGATCGGGTCCATTAAGTAAAACCGAGTTGAATCGTCCAGTTAACTCACTTCCTCAGATAAGACCAAGGAAAAACCAACTTTATCGACTCAGTAACCGTAAGAGTAACGCGTAGTGTATAACGCGTATCTTCTCTTGGAGTAATGGTACTTGCCAGAGTTAGAAAGAGATCCCGCGTCGGAAAACTTGCACGATGTATCGTCGAAGTCGCCACTTCTTAAACCGCTTAGGGAGGGAAGCCTTCGCACTGGCTATGGTGTCACCTGCTCACTTTGGTTGATTAAATATGCTCCAATTTGAATTTTTATGAACCCTCATGATGACTCCCTAGTCCACTTTGAAGGTTGCTTGTAGCACAAAGCACATACATTAGAGCAATTCCACCTAATGGCGGATCCAGGATTTCAACATTGGGTGGTCCTAATTGTAAAAGTTTCAAAAAAACTTAAAACAAAAATAACATTGAATTTTTTATAACAAATTACTATTTGATGTTAGAGAGAAACATTCCAAGATCAGATTGTATTTATAAAAATACTATTTAATATATATATATATATATATATATATATGAAATTATTATTTGCACTCTAAAAATATCACTTTGTATTTATAACTTTCTAAAATGAGAAAGAAATCTACACTTACGATGAGTGAAAAATGTGATTTTTAAAGTATAGATAAAAGTTCTCTATAGATTAACCAACAATGATCAAATTGTTATTAAAAAAATCATAAACTACATCACAATAATCATATGAATATTTTCATCTAATACACATAAGACCAAAATCATAAAATTTAATTGAAATTCAATATTGTAATGGGGTGATGATGGAAAGATAGAGGTGGAATAAAGGCGCATTTACTAATCCATAATCAAATTGAGAGGAATTGAATTGAGGAGGAAATGAAATGAGGTGGAATCAGAATCAAATTCTTGTTGAAGTTGTCTACTAAAACTGTCATATCCCGGCCCGGGGCGGATCATTTCCCGGGCCTACTCCACCACCGTAGCACGATATTGTCCACTTTGGGCTTACCATTCCCTCACGGTTTTGTTTTTGGGAACTCACGAGCAACTTCTCAGTGGGTCGCCCATCATGGGATTTTTCTAGCCCCTTTCTCGCTTAACTTCGGAGTTCCTACGGAACCCGAAGCTAATGAGCTCCCAAAAGGCGTCGTGCTAGATAGGGATGAGAATATACATTTAAGGATCATTCCCCTGGGCGATGTGGGATGTCACAATCCACCCCCCTTAGGGGCCCGGCGTCCTCGTTGGCACACACGTGACCAGGGTTAGGCTCTGATACCAAATTGTCATATCCCGGCCCGGGACGGATCACTTCCCGGGCCCACTCCACCATCGTAGCACGATATTGTCCGCTTTGGGCTTACCATTCCCTCACGGTTTTGTTTTTGAGAACTCACGAGCAACTTCCCAGTGGGTCACCCATCATGGGATTGCTCTAGCCCCTTTCTCGCTTAACTTCGGAGTTCCTACGGAATTCGAAGTCAATGAGCTCCCAAAATGCCTCGTGCTAGGTAGGGATGAGAATATACATTCAAGGATCATTCCCCTGGGCGATGTGGGATGTCACAAAAACTGTCTGGAATCGAAATAGAATTCCATAAAGCTGTTTACTAATTCAGCAGAATCGGAATATAAACCAGTATGATTACTAAAATGCCCTTGTCCCAAATCAAATATTTTATGTACTTTTTTAATAAAATTTGATATAGTATATAATAGTAAGAAAAAAATTAAATTGCTTTTTTATTTCATAGACACACTAAAATGATTTTGTTTATTTATTTATTTTTATAAATTTAAGTATATACTTTAATATCTAAATTTTCTCGCTCAAGTTGTAGTTTCTTCTCTTCAGCATATATATGGAGTTGTGCATAATGTGAGTCTAGGGTAAAGGATAATCTTGAAAATAATGAATATAAGTGAGGGCACAAATGGAAAAAAATTATCATTCTGATTGCTTGTGCAATCCGGAATCCAAATACATTCTCTATGTTAGGAAAATCAGCCAAATCTTGGAATTGGATTCCATTTTTTGTGTGGGCCACACGCACTTTTGATTCCTCCCAATTTTAGCAAACACATGTATAATCCGTAATCGAAATCAGATTCCTTATTCTCATTCTGATTACGGATTAGTAAACACGCTATAATTGTGGTGGGGTTTCGGGGTAAGGTTTGTATTGGATGGGTGGATTTAGGGTTTTGTGCTAATTAAAAGAGGGAATTGCATGAGGAGTAGTTGGGCCTTGGGTTTGTAGACGAAAAAGAGTTTTAATTTTTTGAATGGCCTGACTCAAAACGGCACCTTCTAGGCCAGGAGAAATTTTTAAATTATGATGAGAATACAAGTAGTACACCACATGTTTTAATAAAAGTGGTACGAAATTTTATTTTTTAAGTTATTAAATTTTTACCACACATATCTCACAATTTGTATAACAATATTAAACTTTCTTCTTCTTCACTAAATTCTGCTGGGTACTGAGCTGCAAATTCATGGAGTTCCAAAACCAGCACAAGACCTGGCAGTCTGGTGGTCCTCAACGATCTTCACATATGCTTCTCTGATCTTCCGAAGGGTCCTGGGACCACCCAGGTCCTGTAATGGATCCGCCCCTGATTCCACCCCAAAAAAAAAATGCGCCAGCACTCAGCCTATATATCCACTCAATGAACAGTAATAAACCCTAATGAATAATAATAGGCCAAAGTATCTCCACATCTAACAAAAAATAGCCTAGTCAATTTTATTAAAATATATTTTTTATTTTTTTATAAAATAATTTTTTTATTTTTATTTTCTGACTTTAATCTCTGTAAGCTCTTTGCAGCTTCTTCTTTCCCAACGTCACTCCTACACTTTAAAACCCGAATCAATGATGCAATAATCCCGGCTCTAATCAAAACAACCTTGTACGAACGAAACCTAGAAATAACAAAAATAATCTTTGTAGACAACCTCATGTCGTCTCTGCAAGCTCTGTTGCCGGGCCTCGAAACTACGATTGCAAACTGCCGTGTCAAAACGCCGGCGTTGTAAACCTCTGATAGGTTTCTTGAGTGAATATCGAGTCTTGCGGAAAGCATGTCCAAGTCGCTCTGCATCCGGAGCTTCCAGTTGTACGAAAAATCGATGCAGTGCTCTCCCTCATTCTCCCTCCGTGGCTCCTTGCCCTTTGACGCCACGGTGGCGTCAGAATGGCGTCAGATGGGCCGGTCCCAAGGTCTGTCAATTTTGGGTTGGCCTGGAGACCAGCTTGGGTTGGTGCCTGGCAATCTGCTGGGCTGGAGAGACTTCCCTAGGTGCCGGGCCATTTTTTTGGCTGTGTGCCGACCTATCCCACCTCGGTGGAAGTGCTCTTAGCACATTACAACAAAGGGCCATTTTGGGATATAATAAAGTATCGCAAAATATGTGAAAATATATTCATTTTATAGTTTCTTTTTACGCATGCATCTGATGACCAAAGATTTAGAGTTGTAAACTAATTGATCAGTTTGTTAGGCTTATGCTTTTGATTTCAGAAAGTGAATAAGAGTTGCTAAACATGCTTTGTACATTAAAGGGTATGTTTCAAACCAAAAAAACAAAACCTCTTTACCATCCAAATTTATCACATTCAATATTTCATCGTTACGATAAAGAAATGGCAGATACAAAGTGTAGAGAGCTGAGAGTACCTTCTAACTCTAAGTGCTAATTCCAGCAAATGCAAAAACTTGCATTGCTGAGTCCATGACCATTTCTTCCTCTGAAAAAGAAAACCCTAACAAAATCCAAAAAAGAAAACCAAACTAATTTGGGAATGTTTTTCATTTGTAACTCCTTAGGTGGCTTCACGATGGGAGTTTGTCATTGAACAAGTAAATTACAAAGATTGAACACCTTTTTTATTTAGAAGATTTAAACTTTTATTAGAAGCATGTATCAGCGGCTGGAATTGAATGTCATCAGCTAATCGATGATCAAAACTCTTGCTCGGCGAATATCTGGTTCCAGGCTCCAAATTAACCAAAATTTAGAACTCCCTGGAATTTAACATTACATTATCTGTTTTGGTTTCAGATTTTTGTGTACAACAAAGGAAAACGGAAGCATAAGAGTATCTGTATTTGAAGCGCTACAAGTCCATGAAGCATCAAAATAGACTTTTAATTAACTTTATTATATAGTAACAGGAATACAACAACAACAATAATAATACAAGTCAGTCAAAGTTCTTTGATCAGAGTAACAACCATTTCACTTCCAGATCTTGACAAACTTATCGTGACTAGCCGAAGCAATCAAACCTGTAACAGTTGACACCGCCAAAGAAGCAATGAGTCCTTCATGTGCTGGTAGAGTCATTGTCTTGTTCTCTGTGATGTTCCATAACTCCAGTGTCTGCAATTATTTTCCCCAAATAAAAATCAAAATATGATATCTTGCAGCAACACTAGTACCAGTAAAGGATTGTTTCTCCCGTGTAAAATGGGAACAAATATCCGAACGGCTTAAGAGAGTAGTGGTCTCCAAGCAAAAAATGTAACAAACATTATATAAGAACAATAATGCAGAATTGACTTGCCTGATAACAGCCAACGACCAGCAGTGAAGTATCTGCAGGATGGAAAGCGCATGAATGAAATTTATTTCTGTTGCAGCTTAACTCATGAACGCATTCCCCTTTGCCTCCCGCTCCAAGTGCCCAAACTCTTACAGAGTCCTCGCTGACAGATGCAAGGAATTCGCCAGAAGGATCCCAACACACAGAATGGATAGGCTTAGTATGCCCCTGCATTCAAATCCAAATTCCCAAGTAATGCAGTTGAGAATTCACATGATAATATCACATGATCCGTTTAATTACAACTATGAAAGAAAAATTATAGTGACACAAAAAGTTAGACTGACCTGTAAAGAATGCCGACAAGTCAGAGTCTCAACATCCAGTATAGATACAACATTCTCTGCGGCTGCAGCAAGAAATCTTCCAAGACGGGGTTGAAATCTCATTTGTGCCGTACCACCCTAATACGTTCAAGCATATCAGAATCACCAAAACGTAAATAATATGAAAACCACCACTACCCCACCCCCATGAACTTCCTGCATCCCAGAAGACAAGATTCTACCTTAGACACGCACAAGCAGCTGCCCTTGTGAATACTCCAGTAGCGTATCTGACCATCCACGTCGCAAGAACAGATGAGGTCATCTTTATTTGGGTGGAAATCTAATGACATAACTGAGGCCGAATGTCCCATAAAGGTACGGAGAGGATAACGAGGCTGCAGAATAAAACCATAAAGAAGGCTTGATACAGCATGTCACAAAAGATAAATCATCTTTTTAAGAATAGAGGCACAAACTCAGCACCCGAGCAATGAAGCATATAGAAGAACTCATAATGGCAAGGATTACAGAATGTATGATAGAAATCAAACTAGAAGTATGTATACTTAGTTTGATTACTCTAACAAGTCTTCAAATCTCGAATCAATAGGTTAAAATCAGAGTATAAGCTAACTAGATGATAAGGACAGAAGAATTTTTCACTAACATTGTTGGCATCCCAAACCCTGACAGTCTTGTCAAATGAAGACGTTGCAAGACGTGGCATGCTCGGACTAAAACGAACATCAGTTATAAAAGCTGAATGTTCTTGTAGCACACTTATTGGCTTTAATGTATCTGTGTACCACAATACAGCCTGCATAATACACATGTCAAGAACACTCTAAAAAAGTAGAAGCATCAACCAACAAAGTAAACGTTATAGCTTTTAAGAAGTAAACTAAACAAACAATTTCACATGTTAATGTTCGGGAAGAATCAATTAGCCCATATGTAGCAGCAGTTCTGAATCCTCCCACAGAAGTTATTAGCAATTTCAACATTCATTCACTCACCTTTTTATCATGGTCCCCACTAGCAAGAAACTTCCCATCTGATGAGAAGTGACAGCTTGTAACCTTGCTTGCGCTTGCTCTAATAGAGTTTACTTCCGTAAATGTGAACCCTGCAGTCAAATTCAAATTCTGAGCCCTCAAAGTAAACAATAGTAGCTGCGAACAACCAGGTTTACTATTTTAATTATTTAAAAAGAAAAAAAAACTACGATGAACAAAATAACACTTACAAATGCAATTCCCTGAAACCAAGTACACGACCAAAAAGATGAAAAATTGGTTGACAGATTTTTTATTAGTTGACCGTATGCTATTTACTTCCTATGATAAGTTACATCTACATTCTCTCTTTTGAATGTTTCCGAAGATAAGAAGAACGAGTATTGACACTGTTTGTGTGTTTGTGGACAACACAATTATATATGGGAGATAAAAATTGACAAAAGAAAAAAGACAAAGATCATTAATTGAGACTTGTGAGTCAATACAGATAACTTGCACTGTCCTGGTTTTTATGAATGTATATATCTAATATTCAAGAAAATACGAAAGAATTGCATTGTAGGTGAGAAAATACTGGCAGATACTACGTTCAGGATGATGTTAAACAAAGAATTCATTCCACAACATGGCACCCACCGCACCTTTGCTGACATCGATACCTCGACCAATAGCATCTCTATGATCCACATCATCAGGGGATACAAGAGACTGGACATTATCATCAAGAGACCCATCCTCTACAAATCGATCCATATCAGCCTGCAATTCAAGATCTTTATCATCCCACTGCCAAAATGGAATCCCAATGAGAATCCGTGCAAGGAATTCCCTGGCTGGTTTTTTGAAACCTTAAATTGCGTAGGCAAAACTGTATAAGGAGCTTCCCCAAGAATTCTCGACAATGTGTAAATAAAAAATTGAACAATTACTATTCTACAAGGTTGTAAGTTTGATAAGCAATACGAGCCTGAGTTAATTGACCAAGAAAAAGTTCATAATAAATAACCATAAAAGGACAGACCTGATCATTTCCTTGAAAAGAGTTCGACATGCTACCAACCATAGTGATGCTGCCAGCACCCCCCATTTTATCTTGCTGATGGGGAATGAGATTTGAATTTTGTGACTGCTGATTGGAAAGAGCGTGCTGTTGAAGCTGGTGAAGTTGAGGCAAAATAGGAGGTGATCCTATATTTGCAAGGCCATCCTTCCCAAGAACGCGATTCGATAGCATTCTTAGTCTTCTACTTTCATCATTGGCAGCAGACGGTGATGTCATATTTTGCTGAAAAAGTCCAGAGCAAAGCTGCTCCAAACCCTAACAAGGAGAAAAACAGCTGTAGAGTATTAATGGGTGATACCCTAATCTTCGGAAATGCAACCAAATAGACGATAGAGATTATAAATTTAAACGAACATTGGTCGCTTCCAGATTCTAAACTTCACAGATGGACAACAACTGAACTAATATAGTTTCCAAATTCAGAAACAATGTAATATTGATGCATTTAGAGTGGGGATAACAATTATAACCGTTAAAACCGCTAACTGTGAATAACTGCCCGAATGAATTAGATTTAGGTATGAAAATTCGGGTATATTTTGGATATGGAAAAACTGTGAATAATATTTTGTTATGATTTTGGATATGGTTACAGGGATCCTCAATCTATATCCGTCTCCGAATTAGAACCGAATTATATATAATATAATAATATTTATATATAACATAATTGTATTATAATATATATATATATATATATATATATATTATTCACTGAATCCATTACCTTGAGAATACAAAAGTTGCACTATGTGAGTTGCATTTTGTTGGCAAGTTAAAGGGTTTTGATATGAATCAAAATCTATGAGAATCCAGACCAATAGTACTTATGGGATGTATCAAAAATCAGCCAATATTATTAATGTTTAGCTTTAATTTTTATGCTCCATAAGATCTATTCATTAAGTCATTTTATACATCAAATATTTAATGACGAAATTAATATTTACCAAATTATCATGTGTCAATTGAATTAATATATTTTTTGTATTGACGAAGATGAGTATAATCGTTAACCGATGGGGAATTTGTTACCCGATGAGTATGGTTATGGAAATAACTGATGGTTAATTGACGGTTATGGATATGGTTAATTTTCATCGTTATGGGGATAGATATAACATTTCCGTCTCTAAACCAAACCGTTGCCATCCTTAATTTAGCACATCTATTACCATTGTTTTAATACAGGACCAGAAACTCAAGAAAAGAAATGGTCCAAATAGACAGAAGAATTTTTCTAACAAAGGCTAAGAAACAAACAGAAAATTATCCAGCCATAAAAAACTTACTGTGAGCGACCATCCTAGAGCAACTCCATCGTAGGTGGGTGCTCGGGGGACAGACCCGAGAAAAGAGGTCGGAGGCCCTATGGACCGGCTCCAGCGTGAAGGAGCCCGAGTGGAAGTGGAGGCCCTAGCTTCGGGCCTGGGAAGAATTGCCAGCCCAAGTAGAGATGGAGGCCCGAGCTCTGGGCCCGAAGCCCTGTGGGCCGGCTCTAGCGTCAAATTATTTCCACCCAGATTTGATCCTGAAAAAGAGTCTTACATGTAAGGTACAAGCATCATTATACAATATCGTCAAAACCTACAAAATCTTTCAACTCTATAACTACTAACTCACAAATTACTTTCGTGTAGCAGGCTACCAATATAAAAATAGAATACATTAATCAGCACAGCGGATCAATATGTGCACATAATATTTCAGAGTGAGACATGGTCAATCAAACGTCGTGAAAGACATTATCGGACCTGCAGCTCTGGGATTCAATACTGGATTGATTTCTGTCTTTATGTCCTAATTCCATATACAAGCAAGAACAGATAAACATGATCCAAAACACATTTAATGGAATTCCAAATAAAACCAAGGTCATCTCCAACTTAAGAGTTCAGATGACCAAGGGCTTAAAAATAATCCGAAAATCGTCTGCAATCGAGGGCTAGGCCAAAGGGCTCATGGGCCCCAATGAACAAAAAAGGGCCAAAGAGCCAACCAGCTGGCCCAACTCAGCCAACCAGCAACGGCTAGCTAACTTCAGTTACCAGTGGATTCTTTTTCTTTTTCTTTTTTTTTTTATATTAAATTTAAGTTGTTGTAGTTTTCAAATTTAAGTTAATGTTGTTTTTAAATTTAATTTGTAGTTTTTAAATTTAAGTTGTGGTTTTTAAATATAAGTTGTAGTTTTTAAATTTAAGTTGTTGTAGTTTTTAAATTTAAATAATAAATTATATTTGGTCTTATGGTCCTTTAGCCCATGGTTAAAGAGGAAGACAAATATGATCATGTACTGTTCATTAAAATATTAATATCTTTGAAGACCAGAAGGTTAAAACAAGCCTTTTGGTCAGCTTGGAACTGGCCTAAGCATACCGGTGTGGACCCTGCCGATTGCCAATTGCTGATTTCGAGCTTGGACTTGTTGAGTCATCACACCAGCTGTACCATGCAAAACTTGCCTGCAAAAAAGCGTTCACTGTTTTATATTTAACGTTGATAACAGGATCAAGTAACAGCTTCCACATCTAAAACCCTATCAGTAAGTAGTTATGCGGGCACAGCATACGAACTAACATTTTACAGTTTTCCGAGCCATATGCAGGTCGCACTTTACTCTAAATCCTAAAAATATATAGCAGAGCAATCCCAAATTTGGTATCATCAATATGAAACTGTTTTCTCCAAGCCCTAAAATACACCAGGCGCATCTTATTGTGTTAGCGTCAACGCATGCTACAACAATTAATGGCCCAGCAACATAGCCCGTCGACCCAAACCGGGTCCATTAAGTAAAACCGAGTTGAATCGTTCGAGTCAACTCGTTTCCTGGTATACTCTAACCAATTTTCATGGTTTGTTCATCGGGACTACGGAAAAACCAACAAACTTTATCAACCATAGTAGGCGTATTTTAGCTGGGGAGAGGAATAGTAAGCTAAAATGCGCTGGTAGTGAATGACGCGTACCTTGTCTCTGAAAACTTGCGTGAGGTACTGTCAGAGCGGTCGGGCTCGTGACGCCTCTTTTTCAACGGCTCTAAAGAAAGGGGAGAGTTCGCGCTAGACACGGAAGAACCGATATCTGTGTGCCCGGTAGAATCGATATCTTCGAGCTCGGGAGAATCTGATCTTTGAAGCTCGGAAAAAGTTATTCCAGCTGTGATTTTTGTAATGATTTCCCTTATAAACATTCCTTCATACCTGATAGGTAAATTTGAAAACGAAGCAAAAATACGTAAGATTTATTAGCAACTACAAGGTTAAATAAACTAAAAATATACCTTGATTCATTATTACTAAAGAGCTTGGGAGTGAATAAGATTTGAATTATGTATGAGTCCAACAATATCAATCAAAATCTTCATATGCCATTATATCTTACCACATGATACATATCTCATGTTTTTCTAAGGGGTCCGTTTCATAATCACCAAGGCAAGCGATATACACACTAAGGGCAAGGGTGAGGGTTTGAATCGTGAATCTAGTGAGTTGTTGATGAAGGGCCCAACCATCATGGCAACCCACCACTTACCACCTAATAATTTTTGTTTTCATTTTATATGAAAATTAAAAACTTGTTTTGTAACTAAAAACTAAAAACGAAATAGTTATCAAATGATTCCTAAGTTTTGTACTACACTGTTTAATATCAAAGATTTCAATCCATACTCACAATCATTTTATAGGTTTTCATGTGGGCAATTAACAACCTTCTTTTTTTTATGTGAAATGATAAACAGTTTTACTAGAATCTTAAGGAAATGTACAAAATTCAAAGAGATTTTGGCAAGTGGTTTGTAACTTAGTTGGTTAACAGCATTCGCTCTTTCACTCGAGGTCCATGTTGTGTGTTACGGCTCAAAATTAGAATGATGCAGAAATTAGGTTTGTGTTACCTATCTCATTTTGGTGTGTATTTGAGTTTGGATTTGACTTCTTGGTTGGATTTTCTGTTTGGTAGAAATTTTTTGTTAATTAACTATTTGATTAGGATTTGGATTTACATCCAATTAGGATTAAGATTCTCATTCTAGCCTAAGTCCTATGCATTATAATTAGGACCTTAGGGTTTAGTTTATTTTGTGTGCCTTCACCACTGGCTTAGAGAATTTTCTCTAATTGGGTTTTGGGGTGAAGGTTAGCATTTGGAGTCATGAGTGCAGACAAACGTCATGGCTCATTCGTTTGGCAATTCATGAGAATCAATTTACGAGTTAGAGAACAATTTAGGAGAATCTTCTCGATTTGTTTTAGGTTCTCTACTCATTTGGTTTAAGGTTTGTAATTTGTGGAATTTGGGTTGTGAGAGTTTCGCTCATTTGTAATATTCGTTTTTTTTTTTAGTGAAATGATAAGCAATTTTATTATAATCTTAAGAAAATGTACAAAATTCAAAGAGGTAATTTTAGCAAGTGACTGGTAACTCAATTTGTTAAGAGTATTTGCCCTTGCACTTGGGGTCCCATATTCAAATCCTCATTTTTGTAAAAGGTAATCCTGAAGCAAATTTAGAGGGTCCTCAAACAAAGAAGGCTTCAAAGAAAAAAAAAGGCCAATTTGGCCAAACTAATAGCCACCATATTGGCATCGAATTTATAATACGACAAATCACGACAAGCAACAAAAGAACATGTTCATCACTCAAAAGTCAAAAGAACTTCAATTTTGGAAACTAAAAATTCAATCACGTCTTATAAAACCCACCACATGAGAGATTATGCGCACAGAATCACCAACCAAATTAGTAAGGGAACACTGTGCATAAAAAAGCACCTGACTCCAAATAGAAATACAAAAGATACAAAAGATTCTTCGCGCCCCTAACTGCCATTGAAACTACTGGTTACATCGGGATAGACAACACCAACACGAGACACTAACAAAGACATAAGTCCAAAAGAGCAAAGACAAGCCGCACTAACATCTATAAAACTCACACTACGAAAACTCAATCTTTTACTAAGCCCACACTACCCTAAAGAACCAAAACCCTAAACAAATCTAAAAGTTAGGCCTCGTTTGACATCCCATATAAGTGATTGGATAGGATAAATAATACAATCCTGGGTGTTTAGTGTAATTGTGTACTAAATAGTACTCATACAATTTCTCTGATCCCACCCTTTAGTCCAATTCACACCCACTTATTTATCCCTTAAAAAAACTCGATATAATTAATTGGGTCAGCGATATGCTCTCTCTAGCTTCCTCCCTGTCTCTCGTTCTCTCTATTTCCTTCTCCAATCTATCTCATGCACATCAGAAACGCGAATAATCAGCTACCCACCCTACCTCGCAGGTGACGCCGAGAACACCATCCTCTCATTCTCCATTAGCCTAACCCCGATTTCTCCCATCCCAAGATCCATTTTCGTCCTCACACATTGACATCGGCTATAAATCGAACCCATTCCTCCTCATCTCTCTAACCGTGTTCTTTCTCATCTGTCATTCATGGTGTTCTTGTGAATCCAGTAGCAACACTTCGACAAGAAATGTGGCTAGTAGGGTTTCCTCTTTCAAATCTGCTTTGAGTTTTGAGTTTCAATTCTTGGTAAAGATTGAGCAACTGCAATTTTTGGTTGTACTTGAGTGGAGGTTGATGAGTTGGGTTTGGATTTGGTTGGGTGAAAAGCAAAGGTGTTGAGAGGAAGATGGAGAATTTTTGGCTTTTCTGTGTGAGGAGCAAAGGTCTGGGCAAATCTGGAAGTATCAAGGCAAACTTTTTGTTTTGGATGAAACTAATCAAAGTTGAGGCACCCAAATTTTTATCTAAAGTTAGATTTATAATTTATCTTCTCAACAATTATCTTTTTAAAATTAATTTTGTAAAAATAATAATTACAGTATGATGATCGGCACAATATCAAACATTATATTAAATAGTCAACTTTTTAATCTGGTAGAGCACCAAATGTCCGATTAATTATGTCAGTACTATTCGATGACTAATTATCTTATTCGACTGAAATAGTCAATACAGTCTTAGCTATCAAACGAGGCCTAAATCATGAGTACCACCGCCCCCATTTGAATGAGCGCAGCTATCAGGCCACACACATCTAGAAGAAACAATTGGAGAACAAGCTCATGTATCTTTAGAAGGCTTGAACTCTAGCCATTCAACTTTGACGTTAAATTTAGAGAAATTGATGAAAGTTAGAAGGAGAATTTCGGGAGAAGAATTGGATTGAAAAAGAAAAAAAAAATCACAGAGAACTCAGAGTCAAATCTAAGCATGACTGTTGATGACGATTTAAAAAAATAATGAACAAACAAACAGAGAAAAGTACGTACTAACCCATTAGTCGTTCTGAAAACCCGGACTGTCAAACCTGCAGCTGCAGTAGGAGCATCTGCCCAGACTGTCAAACCTGCAGCTGCAGTAAGAGCATCTGTCCACCGCCGTAGCTTTTCTTGTATATCTGTATCTTCATGGAAGCGCTCTCTATGCTTCTGAAATGCTAGTACAAAAGTACCTATAACATCTGACGGACTAAGATCGTAGAATATTGGCAGAACCATTTGCTTCACTGTTCCTCTGCACTCCATGATCTGCACTAGCTCCTCAAGACACCAGATGGAATCCGCATACCTACTTGAGAAGACGATGACCGAAACCTTAGACCCTTCGATTATTTGCTTCACTTTGTCTGATATATTTTCCCCTCTTCTTATTGATTCGTTCTCCTCCATAAAGAAGTCAATTCCGGCGTCTTTCATTGTCCAGTAGAGGTGGTCCGTGAAGGTTTTGCGCGTGTCTTCGCCAAAGCTCAAGAACACATCGTAGGGTGAGGAGGAAGAGGTGGTGGAGAAGGAGGAGGACGGTGAAGATGAAGATGAGGCTTCAAGGGCTGTACTTGTATCCATAACTGCTTACTGCAAATTAATGATTAATTCAAGTCAGATCACCCTTCATTTCTTCATTTCATTTCAGTACATGAAAAAAGAGAAGTACTTTTCTATGTATATAATTGGATCGAAGTGCGCAGATCCGCTCGCCCAAGGTAAAATGAAATACGATGGCTTTTCATAAAAGCAAATAAACTATTAATCGAAAACAGAGGAAAAAACCTGCATGATCCTTCAGGCCACGCCTCATTCCCCAATTTACTAGATGAAAGATTTGCAGAGGAAGAAAGAAAGAAAGAGGGAGGAGATGGAGAGCTGCATAAGTAGGCAAATATACTTCTTTGCCTCTTTCCTTCCGTTGAAGTTAAGGGATCTTCGAATAATTTTATTGGAGGGACAAGTTGTGGTGCTTATTCCGGAATCTTGTTCATCGATTTAAATTATTTGTATTTTAGACATTAAGATTATAGATTATTAATGTAAAAAATTAGACAAATTCAATACCGTTAAGACATCCAATTACAGTAAAGAAAATTAAGGTGTGTTTGCTTGACAAAACTAGCTTTCATTGAACTAAATTGGACTAGACTAACAGCTAGTGTAGTCGCGTGTTTGGCGCAGCAAAAGATAACTTAAATGACGCTATCTCAAACTTGCTCGTGCCTTGCTAGCTAATCCCGACCGAAAACATGGTATTAGTTAAGACTTATGTGGATGACCACTTGTCTTCCCCAAACTCGTCTCAAGCAAGCTTTTTCAGTGACTTCAACCCTCCACAACCTAAAATCTTAAAATTCTGTTACCACCTAGAATATGGAAAAGAGAATTTTTTTATTTTTTTATTTTTTATTTTTTGCTTTCTACTTTAATATTGTATTAAAAGCTTTACTAAATTAGTCTAACTTAATCTATTTTAAACTAGTTTAGCTTAGTCTTTGAAATTAATTTAGTTCGAGATATTATGTTGTAATAAACTCACCCTAGATGAATATGAATACAATTTTTCAAAGAGATACTAACAGTACTACTATTTAAATCAACAGTCAAATAATTTGAGATGTGAGTGATTTTTTTAGAGAAATGATCCTTGAGGGAAGATGTACAAGGTGAACGATTAGATCATTGAAATATGATGTGGAATGGACCCTATAAAGGATCCCTCAAATAAGCCTTAACGGAAGGGACGTGCATGATCCACTTGTCTCAGGAGGATATAGCTCAGTTGGCAGAGCTTCGCTTTTGCAATAGGGTTGTTGCGATTATGGGTTGAAGTCTAATTATCCAAGCGGTAATGATAGTATCTTGTATCTGAATCAGTGGCTCACTTCTTTAAGCAATGGGGAAGATGATTGAAACAAGTCACTAAAAGACTCTAAAACAGAATTGTAAAGGAACAAAGAAGTATTGTCTTGCTTATTGGCACTTGAAACATTAATTGTCGTCGAAGAACTCTAAAATTTTAATTGTACACCAAGAAGTGCACGATTAGGTTATGGGTAAAATGTCATTTAACTCCTTGAACTATTTTTCCAGTTGAAATTAAACCCTTTGAACTATTTTTTTAGTAAATTAACCCCCTAAACTATTTGAAATAAGCAAATTGACCCCTTGTCGATAGATTCCATCCATTATTTCGTCAAATTCAAAGGAAAATTAGTCTTTCCTTCATCAATTCTTATTTATCAACTATAACAAACAATGTAATTATGATATGTGAAAACAAAATAATGTGTAATAACAATGTGAGATGATTCATTATGTAAACGTTTGGTTTTTATGTTTTCTCATTATGCTATATATTTTTGAATTATTTTGTGTCCATGTGTCAAAATTTTATTGGTGGTTATAGCCGATAAGTAACAATTAATGATGAAATGACTAATTTTTCCTTGAATTTGACGAAATTGATTCTGTAATCTAACGGAAAAAAGTTAATTGACTGATTTTAAATAGTTCAGAAAATTAATTTTTCAAAAAATTAATTTAGAAATCAATTTCAACTGGAGTGGAAAAATATGACAAAAGTGGGAAACACTTTCCCTTCGTGATTTAGGGAGACTGAAGGGTCACTAAAGCGACTCGTTAACTTGGCATTTGCACATCATCTGGGAAAACCACAAGCTCTGCCAACAACAATCCATGGATACTACCATCACAGCCGTTGATCCCTCCTCTGCATCTTTACCCTCCTCCTCGAAACAATGGAAGCACGACGTTTGTTCTTGAGCTTTAGAGGCGAAGACACGCGCCGAACCTTCTACTGGACATTAAAAGAGATTAATGGGGACGCTCCAATCTGCAATAAAATTGAAAAAGATTCTTCACATGGCTTTGTCCGTGACAATGAGAGACTTTGATTATATTTGCGATGGCCACTGTTTCTGTGTATTTTGAATTGAAGATGGCTCAAACATATAGATTAATGGGGACACTCCAATTTATGATAAAATTGAAAATGATTCTTTACACGGTTTTGTCTGTGATAATGAGAGATTTTGCTTCTATTTACAACAATCATCGTATGTGTATTTTGAATTGAAGATAGCTTAAAGAATATAAATTACTAAGATGCTCTAATGTATGATTAAATTGAAATAGATTCTTTAAATAGCTTTGTCAGTGACAATGTCATATTTTTGCTTTCTCATTTGATGGTGGAATGACTTTATTTGGTTCTTTGTATCTTTTTCATTTTTTGGTCAAGGTTCTTTGTTTTTTTTTTTTTTTTTTTTTTTGGAAACTGGTTCTTTGTTTCATTTGGGACAAAAGTTGCTATCTGTGCCTTGTTTAACGATTTTATGTGTTGAATGTCGCCAACTTGGAAGTTTTTATCTTTTTTATTTGGACTGACATAAACGGTGGCCACTGACTGAAACCTAGGTTCATGTCCATGAAAATGGTTTGAAAACTTGAGTTCTAACGATAAGGGCAAAATAAAAGGTAAAGTAAATAATATCAAAATTGATTTTTTAGTGTAAAAATATGATTTTTCGTTAAAATGAACAGTAACAAAAATTTTCGTTAAAGCTTCTTAAAATGAAATAGGATGGCTTTTCATAAAAGCAAATCCAATATAATATCCAAGTAAAATCTAATTGAGAAACTAAAGACTATTAATCGAAAATAGAGGGGAAAAACCTGCATGATCCTTCGGCCCACACCTCATTCCCCAATTTGCAGGATGAAAGATGAACAATATTTGACGGCTGAAAATTTAGTAGTTATTCTAGTGTTTATTCAATTAAATTTGAACATGGATTCAAATAATTGAAATTGTAAACACAAATTAGATATATATATATATATATAATTTTTTTTTTTAATTCTTAAAAATTCTATTTTTTTCCTTATAAATACCTAAACCATTCATTCACCATTTCTTTAAATTTAATTTATAGTTTTTAAATTTAATTCGTCGTTTTTAAATATAAGTTGTAGTTTTTAAATTTAAGTTGTTGTTGGATTTGAATTTAAGTTGTTATAGTTTTTAAATTTAAATAATAAATTATGTTTGGTCATTTGGCCCTCGGTTGGAGACGAAGGCAAATATGATCTTGTACTATTCATTAAAATATTTAATATCTTAGAGGGTCAGAGGGCTAAAACGATCCTCTGGTCAGCCCTCGGTTGGAGATGGCCTAAGTACCCTTTGGGTATGACAAAAGGCTTAAATCATTTGTTTTATGTTGAATAATTTTTTGATATATGATCTTTAGAATGATGATAAAGAAAATGAATGATTCTGATTATAATGTTTATACGGTGAAGATACATTAACAATAAGTGAAGGGATAAGTAGATACCCTAATGGAGGAAACACAAACATAGTTCCTTAAATTTTAGTGTTGGAGAACAATATTGCAAAGTTGCAAATGTTACCCACTTCAAATTACCCCATAAATTAACAAACTTGTACGTGAAGAGTTAGTTACATTTGTAGTGACAGTTGGAGATGCTGTAATTTAATTTGATGATGAGGGTAAAATAGGATTTAAAGCTTCGGATGGAAAAGCACTTTCCCTTCTTGATTTAGGTGGACTGAAGCGAGTGGTTGACTTGCTATTTGCAATTGTGCAGATCATCTGGGAAAACAACAAGCTCCGCCAACAACAATCAATGGATACTACCATCACAACCGTCGATCCATCCCCCGCATCTTCACCCTTCTCCTCGAAACAATGGAAGCACGACGTGTTCTTGAGCTTTAGAGGCGAAGACACGCGCCGGACCTTCACCGACAACCTCTACTGCACATTAAAAGACAAGAAAGTCAACGTCTTCATTGACGAGAATGAACTTCCAAGAGGAGAAAACATAACAGATGAACTGGTGGAAGCGATCAGACTGTCAAGGATGTCCGTCGTCATCTTCTCGAAACGGTACGCGGAATCCCGATGGTGCCTTGAGGAGCTGGAGAAGATCATGGAGTGCAGAAGAACACTTGGGCAAATTGTTCTGCCAATATTCTACAACGTCGATCCGACGGATGTTAGGAACCAGACTGGTACTATTGCAGAAGCATTTCAGAAGCATGCAGAGCGCTTCCATGGAGATACAGATAAAGTCCAGAGGTGGAGATCTGCTTTTACTGAAGCTGCAAATTTGTGTGGTGGGAACCTTAAAAACACTGATGGGTAATTTCTCTGTTACTTTTTAACTTACTGTTTTTACATACATAGCATGTATTTTACAGGATGATGTATTACAAGTGTGGAACCAGAAATTTTTACCAGGGTGGGCTAGCAAATTGTTATAGGGTGACTTGTTGGTTGCTAAAAAGAATTTTCGACGGAAATTCAAGAGATAATATGGAGAATCAATAAGCCATAGAGACTTAAGATTAAAAACTAGAGTCATGAAGGGATTGTTTTAATAAATTGAGTAAACATACAAATTAACATGAGTTAGGCTTAATTTGGGTGAATTACACTTTAAGATATATATTGATATGCGGATTATATTCAAACTTTTCACGAAAAAAGTACCTGGATTATAGCCCGTGTTCGCCATCATGCTAGTTACGATGTTGATGTATTAGTTTTGGTTTAGCAACCTTTAATTGCCAACTTCAAGTGTTGGCTTTTCTTAAGCCTCTACTACAAAATGTCAATAAACTATAAAATGATAGGGCTTAGAACCTTGATCAGTTTACACATTGTAATGCTGCTAATGCGAACCTTGATCAGTTTACACATTGTAATGCTGCTAATGCAAAGATTAGAAACCTGATGTGCGTGCGTGTGTGTGTGTGTGTGTGTGAGAGAGAGAGAGAGAGAGAGAGTATTTCTAAACGCTTGATCTATCAGTTTGGTCGAATTGAGCTAATCACATGGATCAATATAATGTGCCATTGTTTTGTTGTTATCATGACAAAGTTATTAGTTGAGTTTAATCCTGCAGTTCATGATTCTTACTTCTTTTTACTTTGGAAATTTTTGTTAACAGGTACGAAGGTAAGTTTATAAGGAAAATTGTCAACGACATCACTAGAAAACTGAACAACACAAACTTAAACGTGGCTGCCAAAGAAATTGGAATAGATTATAGAGTGCAAGAAATCATCAATGATTTAGATGTTGGAGGATCAGATGATGTCCGCATTGTTGGAATTTTGGGCATGGTTGGAACGGGGAAGACAACGGTTGCAAAAGCCATGTTCAACAGAGTTCATCAAAGCTTTGAAGGTAAAAGTTTCCTTTCAAAAGTGAGGGAAGAGAGTGTGGTTAAACTGCAAAACCAACTTCTTTGTGATATCTTGAAACCGGCCAACATAGAGGTAAGTAGTGTGGATCAAGGAACCAAGGAGATACAAAAAAGACTTGGCGGCATAAAGGTACTTGTCATAATTGATGACATAGAATCTGTGGATCAACTAGAAGAGTTAGCTATAAAACACGAGTCGTTTGGTCGAGGGAGTAGAATTATTGTAACAACAAGAGATGAACAATTGCTAAAGTTCATTAGAGTCGATAAAACGTGTTTGGCACAAACAATGAATAATGAAGAAGCTCTTCAGCTTCTTAGTTGGCGTGCCTTCAGGAAGAGTCATCCTAACGATGATGAATATCTCGAACTCGCAAATAAGGTTGTTGATTACTGTGGAGGGTTGCCACTAGCGCTTGAAGTTTTAGGTTCTTATCTAAGTTCAAAAACCAAAAGAGAATGGAGAAGTGCACTGCGCAAATTGAAAAGAAAGCCTCACGGGAAGATTTATGAAAAGCTTAAAATGAGCTACGATGGGCTAATTGACGATGACGTGAAGGCTATATTCCTTGACATATCTTGTTTCTTTATTGGAATGAACAAGGACTATGTCATGACAATATTAGATGGCTGTGACTTCGACCCAGATATAGGAATTGGAGAACTCCATGATCGGTGCCTTGTAACTGTTGATGAAGGAAACAACCTTATAATGCATGATATGCTTCGAGATATGGGCAGAGAAATTGTACGTGCAAAATCTCCTACCATCACTGGAAAACGTTGTAGATTGTGGGACCAGGACGATGTAAAAGACGTATTGAGTAACATATCTGTAAGTACATTTGCAATCAAATTGTAGTATAAGAATGTATGCAATGAAAGATAAGTGTATGCATATCCCACATACAAATAACCCTTTTCATATTTACTTCTTACTTGATGGATCCAATTCATGGCTTTGCTTCGTGTATAAATCGTCTTTTCGCTGTCCCTTTCTTACCTTTTTTTTTCTTTTCTAACAGGGAACGGAGGACGTTGAAGGACTCACTTTAGATTTGCATGAATCTGACAAGCCTAGCTTCAGTACAGAAGCACTTAGAGAGATGCGGAGACTGAGGTTGCTCATGCTGAAAGGTGTGAAGTTCACGGGAAACTGCACGTATCTTTCCAAAAAGCTAACATGGCTGTGTTGGCCTGAGTTTCCTCTAGAGGTCATGCCAGAAAATTTTAATCTACCAAACCTAGTTGATGTCGACCTGAGTCATAGCCAAATGCAAGTTTGGACGGACTCCGACGTGGTACTGCATAATTTTAACCAAGCTTTGATTCTTTCTTCCAGGTTTTGTAAGTACTGACATCATGCTTTCTCTCTTCTGTTTGGATTTTAATTTTGTTTTCGTTTTTGTGTCACAGCGGCTTGAGAAATTGAAGTTTCTTAATCTAGGTTATTGCTGTCGCCTAAAAAGATCACCAGACTTTTCAAAACTCCCCAATCTCGAGAGATTGATACTCAGAGACTGCAAGAGTTTGTCCGAGGTTCACCCTTCCATAGTACAACTGAAGTGCCTTAAATATCTCTCTTGCGAACTCCAATTTAACAAATGATGCAATTCCTGAGGATCTCGGGTCTATATCTTCTTTAGAAGTTTTAGATCTAAGAGGCAATGATTTTACTGCACTACCTATCGTCACTGGCCTTTCCAAGCTTCAAACTTTACAGTTGGGTAATTGCACAATGCTTCAGGCAATTCCGAATTTACCGACGAGGTTGGAAATCCTGGAAGCGAATCAGGGCGCTGCATTGGAAAGAATGCCAGATTTTTCGGAGATGTTGAGATTGAGAGAGGGGCAATCAAATTAGGCGGAGGCTGTGGTTGGAAACAGACGACGACAGCAGCTAAGTTGTCCGCGCTGTTCCTCTTCAAAGCCTCATTAACCAAATCCTTGCTACACGCGGCTGGGTCATTGTGCTCCTGAAGCCTCCGACGAGCAAAATCCACAGCATTTTGACTCCTGAACACATCCCAGATCCCATCACAACCAATGATAAGGAATTCGTCCTCCTTTGTCAACTTTGCGGTCATAAGTTCCGGCTCTGCACTGAGTGGCCCACCCTCCCTGGCCTTCATCCCTTCCATATGCCAGTCTCCCAAGGCACGAGCAACACTAAGTTGCCCATTAAGGTAACCATCATCCACATGTCCTCCAGATGCCTCGATCCGTTGCTTCTCTTTGCTGCAAATTGGTTTGTGATCTCTTGACATTTCAATTGCTTTTCCACGGCGGCACAGCACTGCTCGACAATCTCCAGCATTTGCAACCACCAACAACCTAGCAATAGAAACTAAGATCAACATATGACTAATCAATGACACACATCTCATGGTACATCTGTAATATTTCAGGACGTACATAAACGGGTTAACCAGAGAAGACACAGATCGAACCACAATAAATCAACTAAACACGTATGCTTGACCTTAGGTAAACACTAAACAGGTCAACTGGATCATAGTTACCCGCACCCATAAGAAGAAACTAATCTCAACAGAATATTACTAGGCAGCCTAAACTTTCCAAGTACTCTAATTAAGTCCGAGCTTGCTTCAGAAGGCAGTAGACCAACAATTACAATTTAGGGTAACAACCCAATTATGCTTTTAGTGTCATTGATCTACATTGAAACAAGACAACAATTCATTCAAGGAAAAAAAAAGGGAAACAAACAACAAACAACCACCACCAAGCCTTATCCCACTAAGCGGGGTCGGCTGTCTGAACAGTCATGATACATGCATCAATAGTTCCAAGGTAGAGAAAACGAAAAAAAAAATCCAACCTTCCAATGACAAGAGCTATCAATGCAGTGGTACCAGAAGCAAGTTTGGCATCCAAGGTGCAAGCTTCCTCAAAGGCAGTGTCAGTATGCAGAAATGCTGAAGTGACAACCCGTTCAATATCTGTAGGGAAGTCTTCATTCTCCAAAATGAACTTCGGCAGATGAGATGAAGCAAAATCAGCCGCATGCTTTCCTCCATGTCCATCAAACACCTGAGCAACCAATACGGTAGGAATGTTCAATTAGGAAATTCTAAGGATATATTAGCTAGCAAGTGCAACACATATAGTTATTGTTCCAAACATATGTTTTAATATCAACAACCACCACAAAAATCTACCTCTAAAGAACTGAGGCATATAGTCAACAAATGAAAACTAAACAATTCAGAGTAGAATGTTATTGCACAATGTGTTAGGAAACTCGTAAGAACATGTGGAAAGACGATAAATACCCCATAGAAGGCGCTTGGGCCATCGGTATGATCCTTGAGCCCATAATCGTCAATAAAATTGTCCACGCAGACATACACATCTTCCATGTATGAACGACACCCAATGTCAGCCCATGCTCCGGAGCGGACAATTGGAATGAAATCAGGTTCAAAGTCCTCTGCTTGAACTCCCGGCTCAACTTTCATCTCTTTTGTTTTCGTCTTCATCTGCAAAATCCCATTCACACATTCAACAATTGCACCAAGACCAGAGAATTTATAATCGACAATTTAATCGCTACGAAAACAGATCTTCAATACTCCGAAAAACAGAACTACTCATAGCAAGTAAGCTTAATTAATCAAAATTCTAGAACCCATTTCTACATAATTAACAGCTTAAACATACAATTAATCACTAATCATCTAAGAAACCCAAATGGAAAAATGCAGAAGCAGAGGAATGAATGAAACATACAAGAGACGGGTGTCGAACGAGTGATTTCTTGCACGGCACTGGAACGCCATCGGCGGCAACTGACTCGGGATACTGACCGGGTCCATTCCTGTTACGATTGACGGTATTACATGACAAGGAAAAATAAAAAGTAAAGCGAAAAGATAGACACTAAGAATTTAGGTGGTTCAACAATTTTTGCTTACGTCTACAAGATAGCAATCAATCTTCCACCATATTAAAATAATGGATACGGCAAGAACAATCTTACCAAGCCAAAGACAAGGCTTGATGAATAAAAGAAAATATAACTCTCTCACTGTTAATCTAACTCATAATTTATGGTGGAACACTATCACTCTCAACCTTGGAGTGGAACAACTCTTAGAACTCTCACTCATAGTCTTTTGGATGATCTACAATGGTGAAATGCCACCGCTATTCATATGCATGGATGGAAAATCCCAGTGAGTCCAAGAATTAACTATTCCACTATCAATGGAAGTCGAACCACTAATGCACCATCCAATGCATTACCCTTGGAACTCCATATGTTCATGCACCACATAGAGTTCCCATGTTTGATTAAATGAACCAACCATTAAATTCCTTTGAATATGGTATTCTCCAATGTATCATTTGTTCTCAAAAGACTTCCAACATTTTTATGGTTCGTTGATACTATGGAAAAACCAACCAACTCTTATGGTCTCAGTAACCGTGCTAGAGGCGTATTTTAGCTGGGGAGAGGAAATGTAAGCTAAAATGCGCGGGTAATGAATGACGCTTACCTCCTCTTGGAGTTGGAGCAATGGTACTCGCTGGAGCCGGAAGTAGATCCAGTGCCAGGTAACTTCCCCGGAAGCGTAGAAATGGGAGACTTAGCGCTGTCAGTAAATGCTATTTCAATTGGAGTCGGGCTTTGGAGTAGTTTAGTGATCTTGTCAATAATTTCCCTGATAAACTTTCCTTCATACCTGGTTGTTATATTTAAAAAGGAAGCAAAAGTACACAAATATTTATTAGCAACTGCAAAGATTAAATAAATTTTAAAAAATATTTTAAAGTTTTTTGAAATGACATATAAGATCATCTCCAAAAAGGAATGTCAAATTTTGAACATGAAATTTAAATTGACAGTTATATGACACTTGGACATTACTCCATTTGATATGTCAAATTTTAAATATAAAATAAAAATTCATATTTATTTTCTTTGCATTGATAATGAAAGAAAATGAACTCAAAGGTATAAAAATATTTAAACATTATATTGGTAATGAACGAAAATGAAAAATTGTGTTTCGAGTTATTTAAGCCATTATAACTTTTTAACAAGTTTTTATTTATTTATTTTATATACACACACACACCACAAAGACGTGGGGAATAAATTAGTTTTTGACTTTTAAGTTTTAACCTCCTTTTCACAAATTCTCTACTTTCTTTGGCTTGAACACAAGACTTTTGGTTGGTAAAAAGAACATGCGGAGTTCATCTCAAACATTTACTGTCAACTACTTAAAAAACCATTAGCCTCATGAGATTACCCACTAGGAAGATGGAGAATTTTTGGCTTTTATGTGTGAGAAGCAAGGATCTGGGGAAATCTGGAAGTATCATGACAAAGTTTTTGTTTTAAGTGAAATTAATCAAAGTTGAGGCACCCAAGTTTTTATCTAAAATTAGATTTATAATTTATCTTCTCAACAATTATCTTTTTAAAATTAATTTTGTATAAAAAATAATTACAGTTTGATGATCGGCACAATATCAAACATTGTATTAAATAGTTAACATTTTAATCTGATAGAGTATCAAATGCCCTATTAATTTAGTCGATGGCTAATTATCCTAGTCGATTGAAATAGTCAATACAGTCCAAACTGTTAAACGAGGCCTAAATCATGAGCACCACCGCTCCCATTTAAATGAGCGCGGCTATAAGGCCACACACATCTAGAATAAATTGGAGAACAAGCTCATATATCTTTAGAAGGCTTGAACTCTAGCAATTCAATTTTGACATTAAATTTAGAGAAATGGATGAAATTTAGAAGGAGAATTTCGGGAGAAGAATTGGATTGAAAAAAAATAAAAAGAAATGATAGAAAACTAAAATCTAAGCATAACTGTTAATGACGATTTAAAGAAATAATGAACAAACAAACAGAGAAAAGTACGTACTTACCCATTAGTAGTTCTGAAAACCCGGACTGTCAAACCTGCAGCTGCAGTAAGAGCACCTGTCCACCGCCGTAGCTTTTCTTGTATATCTGTATCTTCATGGAAGCGCTCTCTATGCTTCTGAAATGCTAGTTCAAAAGTACCTATAACATCTGACGGACTAAGATCGTAGAATATTGGCAGAACCATTTGCTTCAGTGTTCTTCTGCACTCCATGATCTGCACCAGCTCCTCAAGACACCAGATGGAATCCGCATACCTACTTGAGAAGACGATGACCGAAACCTTAGACCCTTCGATTATTTGCTTCACCTTGTCTGATATATTTTCCCCTCTTCTTGTTGATTCGTTCTCCTCCATAAAGAAGTCAATTCCGGCGTCTTTCATTGTCCAGTAGAGGTGGTCCGTGAAGGTTTTGCGCGTGTCTTCGCTAAAGCTCATGAATACATCGTAGGGCGAGGAGGACGAGGTGGTGGAGGAGGAGGAGGAGGAAGAGGACGGTGAAGACGAAGGTGAGGCTTCAAGGGCTGTACTTGTATCCATAACTGCTTACAGCAAAATTTATGATTAATTCAAGTCAAAGTGCACAGATCAGTCCACAAGAAAAGAAGTGCTTTTCTATCTACATAATTGGATCGAAGTGCGCAGATTTGCTCGCCCAAGGGGAATTGAAATACGATGGCTTTTCATAAAAGCAAATAAATCTGGATAAGCAATACAATAGAATACAATACCCAACTAATATCTAATTGAGAAAATAAAGACTATTAATCGAAAACAGAGGAAAAAACCTGCACGATCCTTCAGCCACACCCAATTCCCCTCCTCTGTCATTTTATTTTTTATCTTATTATTTTTATAAAAAAAAATCAATATAAGATGTTGACGTATTTTTATTATTTTATTTTTGTCTTATTTTTTGGATTATAGCCCGTGTTCGCCATCACGCTAGTTACGACGTTGATGTATTAGTTTCGGTTTGGCAACCTTTAATTGCCAACTTCATGTGTTGGCTTTTCTTAAGCCTCTATTACAAAATGTTAATAAACTATAAAATGATCACTACAAGAATTCTAGCTACAGGACACTATTTTTTACACACTAAAGAAAGTCAGTGGCTTTCTAACTTTATATCACCAAAATATATTATCCGTGGCTATTGAAACTCAGACACCAAAAAACAGTGTGGTTAACCAAATTATGAATTTCAACTGAATTTTTTTTTTTTTTACCTCTCTTTTCGGTGGCAACTTGCAATTTTCAGTGTTGAAGTTTGTGCATTGGTGCTAATTTTTCCCTTGGTCATGTGTGTTGCAGGTGCGTGGCCATCGGGTTTTGTGGAGAAGATGCTGGAAGCTTCTTTCATTTAGCTCTCTCCTCTTCTTTCATTCAACTTGAACATAGTCATTTCATCGCAACAGTTTGGGTGGTTTGGTTGGTGTGAGACGTTATTTTGTGTTTGGTTGGTGATAAATTTTTTTAATTGATTGCTGTAAAATTCGATTCTTGCTAATTGCTTTCTTTATTTTTTGCTGATTTGCGTGTGGATCTTTTGTTTGATTTCATTTTTGTTTGCAGGAAACGTTTATCTTCCAATTTTAGGATTTTGTTGTGGGAGTTTGCAAACGCTTTCTGGGTCAGGTGTGTAATTTATCATTAACTTTTTTCTTTTTTTTTGTTTTGTTTTGTTTTTTCGTTTTTGTGTTATAATTAAAATTGAAAGATTGATAAGGAATGGATATGGCGACGACTTAGTTGTGAATTAATGGTGCAGCGGCAACTCCTAGGTTGCTATTTAGGTAAAATCTCAGAGCTCCCCTAATTTGAATTTTCAATTCGGAATTTCAGTGTCTAGGGTTCATTTCGATTTGGGTTTGTTTTGGAATCTGCACTTTATTTGGTATTTTTGGTTATTCCTTCGTCGTTCATGGCCTCCTGAGATGAAAGGGCCATGGGCGTGCATGGATGCTGCCGTGCTTGCTTAGTGTGAGAGGCTGATTTGCTTTTGGGTTTGTGTTTCTCTTGCTAATTTTGGATATGTTTGGATTTTGTTTTGCTGATTTGCTTTTGGGTTTGTGTTGTTGTAGCTTAAGAAGAAATTGAAAAGGGTTGGTTATTTGGTTCTGGGCTTATTAATTGGTTGGTGATCTGGTTCTGGACATTTTAATTTCAGTTTTGGTTTTGTTTTTTCAGTTTTTATTGCATGTTGTTTTGAGTCATGTTATTGCAGCTTTGAAAAGACAAATTAGGGGTTTTTATTTAGTGAAGCGGAGGAGTGAAATTCACTTGATGGACAAATTAGGGGTTTTTATTCAATCAACTCTGCATGTCTCTGTTTGCAGGGGAACCTCGATCGACAGCCGTGGTAACAAGGGAGACAACCCGAGATGGCGGTTGAGATTTTAAACAGCCAGCCACGGATCAAGGCTAAGAAGGTATAAAATTGCTTCCCTCTGTCAATTGTGAAATGGGATCTGTAAATATTGTCAAAATTTGTGAGTAACAAACACAGGTGTTGAAATACTGTTTGTATTTTCTATTTTTGGTTGAATTATAAATTTTCCAGTTCTTATTTCTTATTTTCTGATTTTGTAAACTTAAGGTTAACTCTCGTGGTGTTATCGTTATGCAGGTGAATCTGGAAAAATCTGTTGATTATGTAATTGAAATGACTATGTTCAAGTTGTTAAATGGATGCAAAGATTGTGGAACTTCCTGGGATTGTAAAATGTGTGGTATTAATAATGGGATTGGTAAATGGGTCCTCAACGTTCCTATTTTTTTTTAAGGAGAACTAATGAAAAAGATTTGAGAATTTTGAGTTTTAACGATAAAGATAAAATAAAGAGTAAAGTGAATGATAGTATGATTGATTTTTTAATGTGAAAATATAATTTTTCGTTAAAATGAATAACACCGTGTATTTTTTTGTTGAAACTTTTTTTTTAAAACATAAATTGCAATTTGACCACCGATGCTAATTCAGTCGCTTCTCAGACAAAATATTTAATATTTTTAATAAACAAATAAGCAAAGAGATGAAAATATCATCTCTACCGTTCCTTTGCACACCGTTGTATAGATGGTGGTGTTTGTTACAGTAGAGGACACGGACCCTAAATCAGTCGCTGCATGGTGGCAATTGATGCTTGCCACCGATTTCAGTGTCCACTGTTTCCAATAGGCACCAATAAGATTGCTCTATGGTTATTTTTCTAGTACTGGATAGGGCTTAGAACCTTGATCAGTTTACACATTGTAATGCTGCTAATGCAAAGATTAGAAACTTGATGTGTGTGTCTAAGTATTTCTAAACGCTTGATCTATCAGTTTGGTCGAATTGAGCTAATCACTTGGATCAATATAATGCGCCATCAGTTTGATCGAATTGAGCTAATCGCTTGGATCAATATAATGCGCCATTGTTTGTTCGAAGGATTGTTCTCATAAGCTAAACCATATATTCAAATTTTATTCGCTTCCAAAAGTTGTTATCATGTACGAGGGTCATTTTAAAACCTCACTTCGCATCTATTAAGTTGCATTTGACAAAAACAATAAACTCTAGGGTTTCTGAAAACACAAAAGGAATTGATATGCGAGTTTTTGTTAGAAATGGGAAACGATGACCCTCGTTATCTGTGTTTTGAATTGAAAATGGCTCAGGAATACATATCACTAGGGACGCTCCAATCTATGGTAAAATTGAAAAAAGATTCTTCACATGGCCTTGCCTATGACAATGAGAGATTTTGATTCTATTTGCGATGATTCTCTTTTCTTAGTGTTTTGAATTGAATATGACTTAAGTATATAGATTAATGGGGATGCTCCAATCTATAATAAAATTGAAAAAGATTCTTCACATGGCTTTGTCTGTGACAATGAGAGATTTTGATTATATTTACTATGACCCTCGTTTCTGTGCATTTTGAATTGAAGATGGCTCAAACATATAGATTAATGGGGACACTCCAACGTATGGTAAAATTAAAAAAGATTCTTTACACGACTTTATTTGTGATAATGAGAGATTTTGCTTTTATTTGCAACAACCATCGTTATGTGTGTTTTGAATTGAATATGACTTAAGTATATAGATTAATGGGGATGCTCCAATCTATAATAAAATTGAAAAAGATTCTTCACATGGCTTTGTATGTGACAATGAGAGATTTTGATTATATTTACGATGACCCTCGTTTCTGTGCATTTTGAATTGAAGATGGCTCAAACATATAGATTAATGGGGACACTCCAATGTATGGTAAAATTGAAAAAGATTCTTTACACGGCTTTATTTGTGATAATGAGAGATTTTGCTTTTATTTGCAACAACCATCGTTATGTGTATTTTGAATTGAATATGACTTAAGTATATAGATTAATGGGGATGCTCCAATCTATAATAAAATTGAAAAAGATTTTTCACATGGCTTTGTCTGTGATAATGAGAGATTTTGATTATATTTATGATGACCCTCGTTTCTGTGCATTTTGAATTGAAGATGGCTCAAACATATAGATTAATGGGGACACTCCAATGTATGGTAAAATTGAAAAAGATTCTTTACATGGCTTTATTTGTGATAATGAGATATTTTGCTTTTATTTGCAACAACCATCGTTATGTGTGTTTTGAATTGAATATGACTTAAGTATATAGATTAATGGGGATGCTCCAATCTATAATAAAATTGAAAAAGATTCTTCACATGGCTTTGTCTGTGACAATGAGAGATTTTGATTATATTTACGATGACCCTCGTTTCTGTGCATTTTGAATTGAAGATGGCTCAAACATATAGATTAATGGGGACACTCTAATGTATGATAAAATTGAAAAAGATTCTTTACACGGCTTTATTTGTGATAATGAGAGATTTTGCTTTTATTTGCAACAACCATCGTTATGTGTGTTTTGAATTGAAGATAGCTTAAAAAAAATAAATTATTAGGACGGTCCAACGCATGATTAAATTAAAATAGATTTTTTACATGGCTTTGTCAGTTACGATGTCATATTTTTGCTTTCTTATTTGATGGAATGACTTTATTTGGTTCTTTGTATCTTTTTAATTTTTTGGTCAAGGTTCTTTGTTTTTTCTTCTTTTTTTGGAAACTGGTTCTTTGTTTCATTTGATACAAAAGTTGCCAGCTGTGCTTTGTTTAATGATTTTATGTGTTGAATGTCGCCAACTTGGGAGCTTTTATCTTTTTTATTTGGACTGACAGAAACGGTGGCTACTGAGTACTGAATCACTTAAACCTAGGTTCATGTCCATGCACTTTTCTATCTACATAATTGGATCCATCTGCTTGCTTTGGATAGAAAGGAAGGAAAATTAATAAAAATGATTTGAAAATTTTAAGTTTTAATGATAAGAACAAAATAAAAGATAAAATGAATAATATCAGAATTAATTTTTTAATATAAAAATATGATTTTTCATTAAAATAAATTTTTCAATAAAATTCTTTAAAATGAAATAGGATGGCTTTTCATAAAAGCAAATCCAATATAATATCCACGTAAAATCTAATTGAGAAACTAAAGACTATTAATCGAAAACAGGGGAAAAACCTGCATGATCCTTCGGTCCACACCTCATTCCCCAATTTACACGATGAAAGATGAACAAAAAATTCAACAGTCATTCAGGTGTTTATCCAATTAAATTTGAACATGGGTTCAAATAATTGAAATTGTAAACGCAAATTAGATATATGTTCAAATTTGATTGGATGAAAGCAAAAGTGGTTGCTAAAAATTTAGCGGCCAAGTATTGTTCATGAAACATCTAATTGTAAAGAAGAAAGTGAATGAATATTCTTTTTCAATGAAACACTAATATAACTACAATTTAATTTAACGGTCAAATAGTTTCAGATTTTAGTGATTTTTTATAGGGTTAATCTCAGTTTATTATCATGAAGTTTATTAGTTTTCAACATTTAATACATGAAGTTTTTTTCATCCTAGAGTGGTACATAAAGTCATAATTTTGGGATACTTTCATACATCTGTTAAGTTTGATGTTAAATCAATTGTTAACTAGTGACATGACACTCATGTGGAAAATGACTAGGCACTACGTGTCATAAGGGCCCACATAAATATTAAAAAATTAAAAAATTAAAAATTAAAAAAAAAAGTTTCTGGGTTGTCCCCTACCTCAACCCTCAACCTCCGCCCCCCTCTTTCCCTTATCTCCTCTACAAACCCTGTCCTTGCCCGCCCTTTCTTTCTCCGGCTAATCAATTCCTTCTTGTCCATCACCTTCGCCGCAAATACACACCCCTACGCCCCACCGGGGGACTTAAACTCGACCAAGTAGACAGAGCCGATGTCGCCAGAGCCTAGGTGCTCTGCGAATTTGAGGTCACAGAGGGAGAGTTGATGGGTCATGGATTCGGATCGGATCTTGTAGATTGCAAACCAGAGAGGGTCAGAGGAAGATGACTGAGGTCAGGACTTGAAGACTACAGAGGCGAAGAGGCGAGCGGAGGAGGAGGCGAAGGGTAGAAGCGTGGATTTAGAGTAGGAGCTGGTGTTGCGCTTGGTGGTGATGGTGTTGGCGGTTGTGGTGGAGGTGAAGCTTCAGAGCCGAAGCGCTCTGAGAATTTGAGGTCAAAGAGGGAGAGTTGCCAGGTCGGGGATTCAGATCGAATCTTGTAGATTGTGGACCAGAGAGGATCGGAGGAAGATGATTGAGGTCGGGACTTGGGGACTTCGGAGGCCTGCATGTGAGCGGAGGAAATGACAGATGGCGGGAGCGTGGATTTGGAGTAGGAGTTGGTGCTCCACTTGGTGGCGGTGGCGGTGGTGTTGGAGGTTGTGGTGGAGGTGAAGCTCAGGTTTTGGAGAGAAATGAGAAAGGGGGTCGGGGTTGAGGTATGGAACAGCCCAGAAACTTTTTTTTTATTTTTTATAATATTTATGTGGGCCCCTATGACATGTGGCACCTAGTCACTGTCCACGTGAGTGCCACGTCACCATTTAACCGCTAATTTAACAACAAACTTAACGGATGTATGAAAGTATCCTTAAATTATGACCTTTTGTACTACTATGAGATGAAAAAAAATTTATGTATTAAACGTTGAAAACCAAAATATTTCAGGATGGTAAACTAAGATTAACCTTTTTTTATATATAGATAACCTTTGAACGAAGACCTAAAAGATAAACGGTTAGATCATTAAAATATGGTGTAGAGTGTGTCATATAAGGAATCTCTCAAATAAGCCTTAACAGAAGGGAAGTCAATAGAATGGGGAAAGAGCAAAGAAGTATATCGTCTTTCTAATTAGAATTCTAAAAATATAATCGTGCACGAGATAGTGAAAAACAATTTGCTTTTTTTTTTTTTAATCTCTCTGCATAGATCCAAATGTGAGGTGGGTGTGGACTTGACATATGGTTTGTTAATGTTAACTATCAGAGTCGGCTCTGAAGGTGTGAAAAAGGTGCTATCGCATAGGATTCCTAAATTTTCTTTACATGTAAAGAATACATATTATATACTTATTGTGCAAAATAGTAATGATTATCGTACCATCGCTAGTGGTGTAGTCCTTCAATCTTCTTGTACATGGCTTGAGTTCAAGTCCTTGTAGAGCAATTTTGCTATTTTTAAGTTTTGCAAATTTATTAACTTAAAAAGTTGATAAGTTTTACACAAAAACCATGCAACATATTTCAAACTGAAGACCTTTCAAGACATGAAACACTCTTGTCCGCTCAAATAATACTTACAATTTGGTGCTCTAATTTGTAGTATTCAAATTTTATAGATACAAATTGAAAAAAAAAAAATACAGTATTAAACAAGATGAAGGGTCTCCAACTAAATCTTTAATAGGGCTCCTAAATTCTCAGGACTGGCCCTGTTAACTACAGAGACCACTTTTGTCTAAAGGTTTGTTCACAGTTTCCAATCAACCCAACGAAAGCCTTCCAATCCTCCAGCTTTAGACCAAAAAAAGAAAATGTCTCTATTCTAGCAAAAAAAAAGTCTTTATATATAGTTATATATAGTCTAAAAATTGAATTATGCACAAAGAAGTGAATAATTAGATTTTTTTTTTTTAAATACATCGATATTTTTATACTAAGAGGAGGGGGAGTTCGGTTAAGCCACATAATGGACAACTTAATTTGGTATCGAATTTACCTCCCCTCCTCTCACATTTTTTTTTTGTCTTATTATTTTTATATAAAAAAAATCAATATAAGATGTTGACGTGACTTAATCGTAACCGTTCAAATAGAAAGAGAGTATAAAGAGATTAAGAGGAAACAGAATCCTATTAGGTTGTGGACTTGACTGATGGTTTGTTGACTTTTAGGTGGATAAATTTTTTGTTATGACGGGAACACGGATGGTACACCAAGTGTTTTTATGTAAGTGGTGGAAAATTTTAATTTTTAAGTTATTAATCTTTTAACGCACATATCCCACAATTTATATAAGAACACGTAATGTACAATCTCGTATGACGGTCACACTGAAAAATCTCTCTTTTAGGTGGTTTGTTGACTTTAATTAAAGAGTAATGTTATTCATACCATGTTTTTATACCACTTTATATAGCATTTGATGTGGACAACCACATCATTTGAATTAATCAGATTTTTTAATTTAGTTCCTTATTTAGTAAATTAATAATTAAGAAAAACTAGTTAATTAAATGATAATTGTGATATACGAGGAGTATTTCTTATTCGTTTCTTGGTTTTACAAATTTTCAAAATAATGTGACTATCCACATCAGATGTCATCTAAAATATAAAAATATAGTATAAAAATATGATATATAACATTACTTTAATTGTGAGGGGGTAAAGTTGGATTTAAAGCTGTGGATGGAAAAAACACTTACCCTTCGTGATTTAGGGAGACTGAAGGGTCACTGATGCGAGTAGTTGACATGGTATTTGCTGATCATCTGGGAAAACCACAAGCTCTGTCGACAACAATCAATGGACACTACCATCACAGCCGTTGATCCCTCCTCTGTATCTTCACCCTCTTCCTCGAAACAATGGAAGTACGACGTGTTCTTGAGCTTTAGAGGCGAAGACACGCGCCGGACCTTCACCGACAACCTTTACTGGACATTAAAAGACAACATAGTCAACGTCTTCATTGACGAGAACGAACTTCCAAGAGGAGAAAACATAACAGATGAACTGGTGGAAGCGATCAGACTGTCAAGGATGTCCGTCGTCATCTTCTCGAAACGGTACGCGGAATCCCGATGGTGCCTTGAGGAGCTGGAGAAGATCATGGAGTGCAGAAGAACGCTTGGGCAAATTGTTCTGCCAATATTCTACAACGTCGATCCGACGGATGTTAGGAACCAGACTGGTACTGTTGCAGAAGCATTTCAGAAGCATGCAGAGCGCTTCCATGGAGATACAGATAAAGTCCAGAGGTGGAGATCTGCTTTTACTGAAGCTGCAAATTTGTGTGGTGGGAACCTTAGAAACACTGATGGGTAATTTCTCTGTTACTTTTTAACCTTTTGTTTTTACATACATAGCATGTATTTTACAGGATGATGTATTACAAGTGTGGAACCAGAAATTTTTACCAGGGTGGGCTAGCAAATTGTTATAGGGTGACTTGTTGGTTGCTAAAAAGAATTTTCGACGGAAATTCAAGGGATAATATGGAGAATCAATAAGCCATAGAGACTTAAGATTAAAAACTAGAGTCATGAAGGGATTGTTTTAATAAATTGAGTAAACATACAAATTAACATGAGTTAGGCTTAATTTGGGTGAATTACACTTTAAGATATATATTGATATGCGGATTATATTCAAACTTTTCAGGAAAAATGTACCTGGATTATAGCCCGTGTTCGCCATCATGCTAGTTACGATGTTGATGTATTAGTTTTGGTTTAGCAACCTTTAATTGCCAACTTGAAGTGTACTTGAAGTGTTGGCTTTTCTTAAGCCTCTACTACAAAATGTCAATAAACTATAAAATGATAGGGCTTAGAACCTTGATCAGTTTACACATTGTAATGCTGCTAATGCAAAGATTAGAAACCTGATGTGTGTGTGTGTGTGTGTGTGAGAGAGAGAGAGAGAGAGAGAGTATTTCTAAACGCTTGATCTGTCAGTTTGGTCGAATTGAGCTAATCACATGGATCAATATAATGTGCCATTGTTTTGTTGTTGTCATGACAAAGTTATTAGTTGAGTTTAATCCTGCAGTTTATGATTCTTACTTCTTCTTACTTTGGAAATTTTTGTTAACAGGTACGAAGGTAAGTTTATAAGGAAAATTGTCAACGACATCACCAGAAAACTGAAAAACACATACTTAAACGTGGCTGCCAAAGAAATTGGAATAGATTCTAGAGTGCAAGAAATCATCAATGATTTAGATGTTGGAGGATCAGATGATGTCCGCATTGTTGGAATTTTGGGCATGGTTGGAACGGGGAAGACAACGGTTGCAAAATCCATTTTCAACAGAGTTCATCAAAGCTTTGAAGGTAAAAGTTTCCTTTCAAAAGTGAGGGAAGAGAGTGTGGTTAAACTGCAAAACCAACTTCTTTGTGATATCTTGAAACCGGCCAACATAGAGGTAAGTAGTGTGGATCAAGGAACCAAGGAGATACAAAAAAGACTTGGCGGCATAAAGGTACTTGTCATAATTGATGACATAGACTCTGTTGATCAACTAGAAGAGTTAGCTATTAAACACGAGTCGTTTGGTCGAGGGAGTAGAATTATTGTAACAACAAGAGATGAACAACTGCTAAAGTTCATTAGAGTCGATAAGACGTGTTTGGCACAAACAATGAATAATGAAGAAGCTCTTCAGCTTCTTAGTTGGCGTGCCTTCAGGAAGAGTCATCCTAACGATGATGAATATCTCGAACTCGCAAATAAGGTTGTTGATTACTGTGGAGGGTTGCCACTAGCGCTTGAAGTTTTAGGTTCTTATCTAAGTTCAAAAACCAAAAGAGAATGGAGAAGTGCACTGCGCAAATTGAAAAGAAAGCCTCACGGGAAGATTTATGAAAAGCTTAAAATGAGCTACGATGGGCTAATTGACGATGACGTGAAGGCTATATTCCTTGACATATCTTGTTTCTTTATTGGAATGAACAAGGACTATGTCATGACAATATTAGATGGCTGTGACTTTGACCCAGATATAGGAATTGGAGAACTCCATGATCGGTGCCTTGTAACTGTTGATGAAGGAAACAACCTTATAATGCATGATTTGCTTCGAGATATGGGTAGAGAAATTGTACGTGCAAAATCTCCTACCATCACTGGAAAACGTTGTAGATTGTGGGACCAGGACGATGTAAAAGACGTATTGAGTAACATATCTGTAAGTACATTTGCAATCAAATTGTAGTATAAGAATGTATGCAATGAAAGATAAGTGTATGCATATCCCACATACAAATAACCCTTTTCATATTTACTTCTTACTTGATGGATCCAATTCATGGCTTTGCTTCATGTGTATAAATCGTCTTTTCGCAGTCCCTTTCTTACCTATTTTCGTTTCTAACAGGGAACGGAGGACGTTGAAGGACTCACTTTAGATTTGCATGAATCTGACAAGCCTAGCTTCAGTACAGAAGCACTTAGAGAGATGCGGAGGCTGAGGTTGCTCATGCTGAAAGGTGTGAAGTTCACGGGAAACTGCACGTATCTTTCCAAAAAGCTAACATGGCTGTGTTGGCCTGAGTTTCCTCTAGAGGTCATGCCAGAAGATTTTAATCTACCAAACCTAGTTGATGTCGATCTGAGTCATAGCCAAATGCTGGTTTGGACGGACTCTGACGTGGTACCGCATAATTTTAACCAACCTATTGATTCTTTCTTCCAGGTTTTGTAAGTACTGACATCATGCTTTCTCTCTTCTGTTTGGATTTTAATTTTGTTTTCGTTTTTGTCTCACAGCGGCTTGAGAAATTGAAGTTTCTTAATCTGGGTCATTGCTGTCGCCTAAGAAGATCACCAGACTTTTCAAAACTCCCCAATGTCGAGAGATTGATACTCAGAGACTGCAAGAGTTTGGCCGAGGTTCACCCTTCCATAGTACAACTGAAGTGCCTTAAATATCTCTGTCTTGCAAACTCCAATTTAACAAATGATGCAATTCCTGAGGATCTCGGGTCTATATCTTCTTTAGAAGTTTTAGATCTAAGAGGCAATGATTTTACTGCACTACCTATCGTCACTGGCCTTTCCAAGCTTCAAACTTTACAGTTGGATAATTGCACAAAGCTTCAGGCAATTCCGAATTTACCGACAAGGTTGGAAATCCTGGAAGCGAATCAGTGCGTTGCATTGGAAAGAATGCCAGATTTTTCGGAGATGTCGAGATTGAGAGAATTGCATCTGAATTACTCCCCCAAAGTCACTGAAATTCCAGGCCTGGATAAGTCGTTAACCTCCATGACAAGGATTCATATGGAAGGGTGCACCAATCTCAATGATGCTTTTCTGGAAGCAATCCAACGGGTTCTCTCTCTCTCTCTCTCTCTCTCTCTCTCTTATGTATGCATACATGCATGTATTAATTGCTCATACAAATCTTGCTGCGCATGGTATAGGGATGGAGTGCGAGTGGAAATGGTGGCCTTTTTCTTCCTGGACCTTCATGGTTAAGGGGTGTCCAGCCTAAGGAGGAAATCAATGAATATACGCTTGACTGTGAGTCCAGGTCATATTCAAGTGAATACAAGGAAGGCAGAAATCATGAGGCAGCAAGACCTGGTGATGACTCATACGATGAGAATCGATCTCACAAAAGAATAAGGTTTGATCTCAGTATAGAAAGCAATGCAGAAGGAACTGTTGCCGGGGAATATAATTGCATTGTAGTTCAAAACCACAAAAGCTGCATGGAATCTGATGCGACCTTTGAGGAGGGGGGAGATGGTGAGGATGAAGAGAAGGCTCCAAGTGCTGTGCTGGTATCCGTTAATTGTTCTTCAAGCGGAACTGATCAGAAGTACAAATTCGGAATCAGTTGATCTTCTGACTTGAATGTTGTGTTGTGAGCTTTACTTTGCTTGGCGGAGGTTTGGTGTTGCACTTGCATATGAAGATTGAACTAGCAAAGTAAGGTCCAACTCCACATTGTTTCGAATCACAAAACAAAGTGCAAGTACGTCCTCCTGTCGGTGAGAGTGCTGAGACGCAGAGACTGTATTCTGAAACACGAACAATTTGTTTGTTCATAAATTATTAGATTGAAAAGATTGACCTTTGCATCTACTGAGGTTCAGAGCCCTTATGTTAATGAATTGCTCTTTCCGAATGAGTTCATATATCACGATTAACGAACCCTTGTTAATAAAATGGACACTGAGAGCACTATAATCCTACAATTACATGCAGTTGAAGGAAGAATAATTAGATTATAATCTATGAGACTTGACTCATCTGCCTTCTGTTGATCATCTTTCTCAACAAGTATAGAGTTGATATGTCGCTCCTAAGCATTCTCGGATTTCCCACAGTTTAGTTCTTCTGTCACCGTGATGGAAGTTTTGTTCGACATGTAACTTGATAGGAAAATAGTAAGAAAGCTTCGCTTGTTGCAGAGCCTCCACCGACCTTGAGATTGTCTCCTCAAGGCCGCACACCCCGAATAGGCGGCGGCTTCAGTTGTCGACGAAGGCAGTGTAAGATGACACTTAAGTTGTCAAAGTTTTGTAATGGTATTTTATATGAAACATGAAAGACATTAATGTAGAGGACATTATTGCAATTATTGATGAGTTATTTAGAGTTCTATTGTACTTAGGTGGTACCGTGGGATATAATGATAAAGCATATGAAACGTATGTTAAAGACATTAAGGTAGAGGTTACGAGACCATTAAGGTTGGTCCATGCACTCTTAGAAGACACGGTTAACTTTCGACAAGTTGAAAGCATAAGCATTTTAGCGGGTTGTTCGTGTAGAAGACAGTCTTCTTGTACCGGAAAATCATGTCTTCACTTCCACAGACAATATTGAACTACCAACTTAACTTCTTTCACTGTTTACTGAGGGACGAAATGACCTTCTACCCTCAACAGTTCTAACCCGATAGCATGAGACAAAGTTGGACATACAAAACGTTGGATAAATATTCAAAAATCTAACGACAAAGAGGAATTTGCCTAATTATAAACGTTCAAGGGTAACTTGACACTCTAGTGGATAGGTATGTTTTATAATTGAGTAATGCTAGGAGACTTGTTTTGCAGATAAATTTTTATAAACTAAATAACATAAAAGTTTAACACTCAAAAATTGAAGTGTTATTTCGAGCTTAGAGATAAATGCTCTTACCGCAATATATCAAAAAAAAAAAAAAACTTTTCTTGCAAGAATAAACAACATTGTAAAATAAAGGAAAATGCATATTTAAGCTGGGAACTGGAAATAAAAACATCAACATCAACGTAAAATTCCTTAAATTAAAATAACTATAACTGTTGCATCCCACATTGTATCAAAATGTTAAAAGTAAAAGAGGAAAAACAGCAGTTAGTTTTTCCTCACACCTAATCTCTTCTACGGCATCATCAAATGCCTCTGAAAAATAAGCTTGACCAAAACAAGGGGACTGAAAAAAGCCGAAGGGATCTTAATCTGAAACTAGGGAGATGGATATATGGGGTTAGCAATCTGCAGCTTCATCTGTGTTCAAATGTTACGAGTCCATGGCGATGGCTTCCGGCAGCGGATGCAGTTGGAGGGCCGGGATGTTGGACTTGAGCGGGAGGTGGGTTGGCCCGGCCAACTTCTTCTCCTTTGGATATCCTTTTCCGCCTATTCCAAGAACCTTCCTCACCGCATTTGCTAGCTCTATCACATAGTCCTCTTCATGGCCTGCTTATGTCAGAAATTCTCTACTCAGTATTAACATCTACGTGAATTTAATAAAGAACTAAGAAACATCCGGTCATGGACCTTGCACAGATAACTTTGATTCGTAAACAGGAATGTGGGTGACGAGTTTGCTCACCTATATCGAACATAGCCTTCTCCAACAGAAAGAGATAGTCTCTATTGTTTCCGCAGGGCCCAGATGCTGTTGCAATTTGCCTGAAAGAGAAATACTTAATGATCAGTGGAAGCTGTTGAGAGATAAAACTTTATTGCAAAAATAATGACAACCATCATCAACACCGCTAAAACCAGAAACAAATTGCAATCTGCATTACCTTGCCATGTCCTCCAATGGAGCAGGACCGAGGTAATACTTGTTCGATTCTTTGTCTGGAGTGGATGTGAAACTGCAATATCATGAACAAGTTAGGTGAGGGATGCTTGGCACAACACAGCATTTCTAAATTTTACTTAGGATAAATTTAATGAGGCGCAGGAAATGAGGGATCTACAACAAAAAGACATACACAATAACTCCTGTCAAGGAAGGCTCGGTCTCAGAGAACTCCCCTTCCTATACACAAAGAACATAGATATTATGGCAAGCAGAACAAAACAATATCAAAAAATCCCAAATGTAAAGAAAACTGGCTAGTCCAGGCGTGAAGGTAGACTAATATTCAAACTACTCTTACCTTGTAAAAGTCGACGAGGGTCGTCAAATCATATTCACATTCTCTCCTTTTCAAGTACTGCAAAGAAAAGAAATGAATTAAGCATGACTATTAGATGCATATGGTAAGACAGCGACCGCTGGTTTCTAGTTTCACAAACCAAAATGCCGAATAAAAATGTCAATTTTATCTCAAGCCATATTTTTTCCTACTCAATGCAAGTATGTCCAACACTCTCAGCTGACGATCTATCACCACAAGGATAAATGTTACAGTTGAATAAGGATACCTCCATTGCCAATTTCTCCCTTTCTGGCCCTCCACGAACACAATAAGCAGCACCCCACTGTTAGAAACACTTTGAATGTCAGAACGAAACACTAATCGCATGAACCATACAACAAAAGCTAAAAAATAATCAAACGTTTAACGGGTATCTGTAGTACTCTAGAATGTTACTTACGCAGATAGCTCCTTCTTGGTACTCCAAAGTGCAAGTCCGAGCAGGGTGCTCAGGTGTACCTCTGTGATCAATGCACGCTTCACAATTCAAAAACATTATGACCACAATCAGTGACAATACATAACAATATCTTCCAGTCCAGAGACTAATGACACATACCAAGATCAAACACACGCCTGTAGTCCTTGATGTAACCTATCACTTTCTCGTCGTACTCGAATCCTGGGTTCCACACAAGTGAACCATATCCAAAGACCCAGAATACCATGGTTGCGTTTGACTACTGCAAAGGGTACATTGGTGTAAAAATCCCAAGCTCTCATAAACCAGTCCAAAACAATAAAGTTTCAAAATATAAAACGGACTTTCAATTGGAAAGCTCAATGATGCCTTACTTTATAAAAATTAAAAAGCTTCTAACTTTATTTCCTTTTCAGGAAAGGAGTTAATTAATTTCATAAATCACCCAAAAATTAGAGATTTGATAATTGTAGAAATCGTTGCAAATGCGGGAAGTTTTGAGCTTTTTTTTTTTAAATAAAATCTCACAAAACCCAAATCATTATTAATGCACTCCACAATTTAGGAGCTAAAGGAACTGATTTTTCCATATATGGGAATTTTCCAAATAGAGAAACATAAAGTTCGAACTTTTCCAATTTTCTCCCTTTCGTATTTTCCGAGCATCCAAACAGAAATTGCAATTCATGGCGCCAAAGAACAATTAAAACAAATGAGAAAAATCAGCGGCATTGTCATCCAAGCAACAAAATATTCAACACTTACAGAGGAATCGGGAGCTTTCAACGAAGAATGCAGAAATTTTCCCGAGAAAATAAAGCGAGATGAAGCGTTTGGCGAAACCCCTGGGGCGATCTGATTCGATAGATCGAGAAAGCGAAAAGATATCGACGGTGGTCGTCAGTGGCAAGGAAAAAGAGAAACGAAAAGAGAATGAAGCTAAACGCCGCGTTTCTCTCTTCTGGTTCGTTTGTCTCTCTCTTTCTCTCCCTTCGCCTTCTCTTTCTCTCTCTTCTGGGTTTCGCTGGGCGAGGATGGAGGGAGGCGACAGCCCTCCGTATCTATATATCGAGGGGAAGCGAAAACCCGCGTGAGTGTGCAGTGCGTGATTTGCCACGTGCGCTAGAGTTGTCATTGATGTATGTGGTATGGATTTTTGTATCATGTGCATCCATCACATCCTTCATAATATCTCATACACTTTTCTCTGTTTCTGACTATTAAATTAAATAAATTAAATAAAAAGAATTGTTAATATTCTAAAAATTTTATTTTACATTCATAATTTTTTATAATTAGAAAGAAAAACACATTTGTGAGAAATGTAAAATAAGATTTTTAGAGTGCTAATAACAATTTCCTAAATAAAATCAATTGATAATATTAAACATAAGCGTATGAGAAATAAAATAAATTTTGTGTTTATTATTTCCCTAATAATCTGCAAATCGCACAATTTTCAATACTTATACACTTTTATTCGATACGTCTGCGCTTGTCATTTAATTTATTTAATTTGATAATAAAGAAAGAAAATGTGTAAGAAAAAAATAGTGAGTTATTTTATTTCCTTAAATAATACTTTAATTTTTAGTAAGAATGTAATCTGATTGGGTAAGGTAAAAATAATAATGTTGCATGAACCTTTTCTTTTGAACTAATTAAAATAACAATGTAACATGATGGGATAAGGTAAAAAAAAACAAGTGAGAACAGCTTAGGAGACAAACTAAAAGGGTTAGGACAAATTCCAAGTTTCTAAATGTTAATATTTTAATTCAAGGTTGGAATCAAATTTGTTGACTGATCAAAAATTAAGAGAGGATGGTGGTGTCTAATTTGTATGCAAATGTGATTCATTTTTCATATGCGTTTCTTATCTTTCGTAATTTATTTTAACTTGTAACTTTGTTCAATAATCTTATATTCTTGTCACAACTTATTATATGTACGTAAACGAAGTTCAAAGTTAACTATATGCCTGGTTACTTGATGTTATTAAAATATCAAGCCTTTTATTTTCTAGGACAAATACTTTAAACTCATTGTATACAAATAAAATCATACGTGTAAATTTTGCTACCACAAAATCATATGAAATGACAAGAATCTTTTGTAGTCCATTCACAATCGTATCTTTATTTTTTTGTCTTTATATGATAATGAATATGTTATAACTTGTGCGGTTATAGTACATTCACATTTTTTTGGGAAGAAAAACAAAAGATTAACAAATAAATATTTTTATCAAATACTTGTCCAATTGTTATAGTTAAAACACAATTTATTTTTCTATTTGATGTCTTTAAATAAATAGACCTAGACTTCACTATCTATTGCCAAAATTGTGTAATTGTTCCAAATTTGCATCCATATTCCATACCATACATGTCCATCCCATCTAATCATGATGTACGTTCACATCCATCGGCCATGATGTATGGACACATACATAGCCATGATGTATGTCCACTTACAAAGTCATGATGCACATACATAACCACAGATTGTGTTTTGGTCTAAAACGTGGATTGTATTTTGGTCTAAAACGTGAGTAGTGTTTGGTGTAACATAACACTAAAAAGGAAATTATTTAGGTTCATTGAACCTGGACAGGTTTTCACAGCTGTTATCTTTTCCGCGTTGTCGAATTAGTGCCTAAACTCCCGATGCCTGCAACAACCGCGAAATCGTGTCATGGAAGTCATCAAGAAGGAAATCAACTGATTTCGGTTCAATGAACCTGGACGCTAACTCGGCACTAAAAACCCTACAGCTCCTTCGTGGTTGGCAGGGTTTTTTGGTCAATTTGGTTGGCGGGGGGGTTAGGCAAATAGGCAGGGAAAGTGGGATCCCAAATCAGAAGTAATGTTAGAAAAATTAAATTTATAGATAAAATTTTAAAAATTAAAGGACATGGAAGTTAATAATTGATTTATTAGTTACACATTGATAAATGTGTTTATTCTTATCGGTGACACGTCATTTAATTTCCAAATTTAGTCTCCAAATCTAGTTTCCCTATCATTAAAGTCCCGTAGATTTTGATTCACTTGGATTCAAATTCCAAATTTATGGCTGGTTTCCTGCTGTTTTTGTAGGATACCATCGAGGAATGGTGGGAATATTAAGAAGATAATGTGAGACATTGATAAATGTGCTTATTCTTATCGGTGACACGTCATTTACTTTGCAAATTTAGTCTTCAAATTTAGTTTCTCTAGCATTAAGGTCCCGTAGATTTTGATTCACTTGGATTCAAATTCCAAATTTATTGCTGGTTTCCTGCTGTTTTTGTAGGATTCCATCGAGGAATGGTGGGAAGATTAAGAAGAAGATAATGTGATGATTGAAGTGCTTCGTTTCTATCTATGTGAGGATAATGTGTTTCTTGATACGAGGTTGGGAAGCTTTGGAAGGTTTCTATCTATCTGATTCTGTGTACGCATCGGTCTCTTTTTATTTTTCTCAATTTAATTATTGTCTAGAAAATAAAATATCAGGATTTACCTGTAAATTTTAATGTTGATGTTTCTTTTGATTTATCTGAAATTTTTTATTTTTTGAAAAAGTGAAGTATTAGAATTTGACTGTAAATCTTGACCGTGACGTTGAGGATATAAGGGTGAAAAAGATCGTTGGCCTCATTCATATTTGCACGTCAATGTGTGACTATCAACTTACTCTTATGTGTATTTTTAAACTATTGAGTTTTGCATGAAAAATGTATGTGAGTTTGTAATTGCGCGCAAGCATATATGCTTTGCATGCCAAACTTATGAGTTGTGCGTACAAAGTATACGTATATAAGTTTTTGATTGCACGAGTATGATGTTGCTAATGAACAATAAACAAGTAGTGTGCATTTCTTGCGAATGGCCTAGGAAATTGGCTTTGTTTGTACTCCACAATTTATATATACACGTACTTTTCAATCTTTACGAATTGGGACGTAAGATGGGAGTTTGAATAAATGTGATTTTAAATTATTTGTATGACCTTGAAATCATTGTGTAATGTAAGTCTAAAGGTAATGGGTTGGTTCCACCAAACCTACTTTGATCATTTTTCTGGTAAGTCATGAGATTGACCTAAGTACATATGGCAACATATTAACGGAGGTGTGGGATTATCAATGGAACAAAAGTACCATGCTGATGTGCAGTCTTTATTACGATAAAGACCGGCATTATTAATTTTTATTATTAGAGATCATAGGTCAAAATCTTTGAACTATTTTGACTAAAAAATCATGTATTTTATTATATTAAGGACAACGATGAATTCGTCAAAATTAACATGTCAACCATGGCCAACGGATTTACCATTTAGGCAGCTGGCCAACATACTTCTCAATAGGCAAATTAGATTTATATGTTATCGACCTTTCATCCTCACAAGGGCCACCCACTCATGCAGTCAACTTTTATCAACAGATTGTTCCAATTTTTTCTCGTTTCACACGTTTCAATGGTTCGGATATTCGGACTTGATGAATTAAGAGAAAGGAATCCAAAGATGATTTCTTTCCTTTTCATTTTATTACAATGAGATTCCAAATCATCGAAGAACATTACATTTAACATTCAAGTATCATTGATTAAGACTATCTATCGCTTTACATTTCTCTTAGTTAACTTACCAACCACAAACACTTATAAAACGTTTAATTGAAGAAGAAAATTGATATTCACATTTTAAAAATGTGATCATGGAACATTTTTAGTGAAAAACATAAAAATGAAGAAGTGCATAATGACTATTTTGTAATGTTGAAGTGACAGTTGTCCCCAGCATCGAGTTGTTTATCTCCAACTTCACCACATCTCAAAAATCGTGACGAACTCCAGCAATAATCGAAATGAATACGTAAGAACTAGGTGGGAGAGAAAGAGACATAGACATAGGAGAGAGATGAATTAGGTTTTAAGATAGGAGGAAATTATGATGCTCGGACTAATGTATTTATATGACGATCAGTGGAGGAAAGAGATGAAAGAGAATGAGTTTAAATTTTCGATATTGCATTCAACTTAATTGTAGATTTTCATTTTTTATAATTTGATTCTTAGAATGAATTCAATGATTCTAATGGTTTAACTTAGCACCTAAACCCTGCACAAACCTCCTTACTCTAACAGCTTTGTTGGTTTACAATAGCACGAGCTGCACGACGAGCTGGACAAGTATTGCATTTAACAAAAATATTCTTTTTGTCACCAAGTGATGCAAGAATATAGAAAATTTTAATGGAAAACTCCCGATACTATTTGTTTTAATGAAAAATCATATGATCACTCGTCTTTAAATTAAATGTCGTCTTTATATTAAATATAATGGTAGAAAATAAATAAATATTTTTAGTTTTTTAATCTATTTTCCAAAAATTTAAAAGAAAAATGAACCGAAACTAGAAAAAATGAAAAAAATTTAGGGCAAGTTACTACACTCCACTGTGGTTTTAGGGTTTGCCCAGAGCCATCGATCCATCCGAAACGACTGCTAGTCCTGGGTAAGTCGATTCCACACTCACCGCCGCCCAATTTCCAAAAAAAGATGGCATTTTGAGCACAAATTTCGAAAATGAAACCCGAACAGACCCCGTCCCAGCTTGACCGATCTCACGGTTCTTCCGGCAACCGGCGCAGCACGCGTTCGCAAGCAGCACCGGACTGGAATCCGACTGACGAGCTCATCCTTGTGAACGAGGTCGCCGCCGTAGAGGGCGACTGCCTGAAAGCGCTGTCGTCGTTTCAGAAATGGAAGATCATAGCTCAGAACTGCTCTGCTCTGGGCGTGTCGCGGACTTTGGACCAGTATCGCAGGAAGTGGGAAGCTTTGTTCGACGAGTACAAGGGGATTAAGCAGTGGGAGGCGAAGTCCCGAGCTTCCGATTCGTACTGGGTTTTAGGAATTGAAAGAAGGAAGCGGAATGGGCTGCCGGAGAATTTTGACCAGGAGTTGTTTAGAGGGATTGATAAGCTTGTGACGGTGAGGGGGAACCAATCGGATACAGACCC